GGTAGGATTTTTTATTCATTCATTAGTTTATTTTGTTGTGGGCATTTTTATTGATGATTTTATTTTGAATATTTTATGTATCTTAAAATTCTAGTAATTGATACTCAAATCATTATATAATTCGAATTAAATGGGATTCATCTACAGATACTTGTAATTTAATACAATTTTTCTTGTTCAATTTCGATTCTTTTGACTATGTGCATTTACATTGTTATCGCCTAATTTTATGTTTTCTAAAGTGAACAAATCTTACTACATAAGCTACTTTGAAAAGGAAAACAGTTTAAAAATGGTATTGCTTGAGTAAAAATCCAGATATACTTAAAATGTTTCTCTTTATATAACTATTTCAAGAGTCCATTCTATATCACATCAAATCAATTTGAAAACAAATATCATCAAGCTCCACACTCTAAATCCTTAACAACGAAATGGCTTTTTAGCAAATTGTCATTTTAAAAAACATATAAAGAAAACATGTTTAATTTGTTTGTCATACAATTCACACACACACACATACATACATACATACATACATACATACATGTTTGTATGTATCTACATATATATATGAGAAGAGTACACATTTTCTGTTTCCCTATGGACAAGGTTACAGTATTACCTGTTAAGATTCAAAGTGTGAACACACTTGGTACAACCACCTAGCATCTTCTAGCAATGCCATACCATTCTAGGCAAAAATGTTAGCAATTTCAGCAATTTTTTAACACAACCCGCAATACTCGTAATGAAGCTTTAAATGGTGTAGCAAATAAAGAGATCAGAAGTAGGATTTAGAGCTCTTCTCAAAGAGGGCAAAGTTGGACATCCACTTTGAAAACCCCGTCGGCGGTGAACACGATGCTGTCGCGAGCAGTCAAGGTTCGAAGTAGTGTACACGGAGTAAGCTCCGTGTAGATCATCGGAGTTGCGGACAACACGAGCTCCATGGACTACGAGAGGAGTACCATCGGAGGTGGGGGGAGGGGGGGGGTTCCATGATGGAAAAAGCGGGGGATTAGGAAACTCATGATACAACTCCAATCATTACTAACAACAAAATAACTTACTTTCTTTGAATTACATAAGATATCTTCAATGTCTTATAATTCCTTCATCTAGACTTAGAATTTATCAAACAGTATATGAACAGTATAGCTTAGAAAGTGCTCTCTCTAATCCTAATCGCTGCCCTTCGTTGTTCTTTGTAAGCATATGTTTTGCTTCAAAGAATGACAATAGGTACAAAATTGACACTTTAGTTTTGAACACCTATAACTCCTTCATAAAAACTCCAAATCACACAAAATTTGCATCCAATCCATATCCAAAAACCTAAACTTGCTGATCCTAACCTCCAAAGTTCAAATGACCTTGGAAGAGAAATCATTATCCCTAATAAGGACTTGAGTAGCCTCCTTAAAGTCCATTGGCCATGACATTCAACTAATAGGGATGAAAATCTTTTTTCTTTGCCTTCATTTAACCATACTTTGCTTTCATCCTTTCCAATAAGCCTCCTTATAGTTTAGACTTTCATCTTTAGACTCCAACCTTTTCTTAAGCTTTATACTAAATATATAAATCTTACATAATATAAATACTATAATAAAAATAGTTAAACCTCTAAATAAATTGTTTTCTATCTTTTTGACCTTGCACAATTCATATGCCACATGTTGAAGGCTCATACCAAAGTCTTATTGAAGAACTGTGCCAATAGCAAAGTCGGAAGCATCAATGTCAAGTATACATGAAAGATTGGGATCATATGGTTGTAATATTGAAGCAGTACAATCTAATGAATTTATATTAATTTTTAACTTTTATGTTGATGATTTAATCATCTTAACCAATATCTTAAAGATAATAGATTTGTTGAAAATAAAGTTAAAAAAGAAGTATAAGATGATTGATTTGAAAGAGCTTCACTATTGTTTAGGAATGGAATTTGTGAAAGATTATGCTAAAAAGATGATAATAATAATCCAAAGCAAGTACATTGAAGATGTGTTGAAACGATTTAACATGAAGAAATGTAAGCCTACATATAAACCTTTGGAGGCCAATTTGATGTTGATGAAGCTCATAGATGAAGAATTTGCTAAAGTTGAAGGTCAAATGCTAGATATTCCATATTAGATAGCAGTAGACTCACTTATGTATGCAATGGTTGGCACAAGGGTGGATCTTGCATATGTAGTGAGTATTATGAGCCAATACATATCAAAGGCTAGAGCAATCCCTTTGGCAACCATTAAAAAGATTATGAAATACTTAAAAGGTTCTTTATATTTTAAATTATATCTTGAAAGTAATAACATTACTTTGCATAGTTATTGTAATGCGGATTGGATTAGAGTTGCAAATGATAGAAGGTCAATAACGAGGTATGTTTTCTTTCTTGGAATGAAAGCAGTTTTGTGAAATTGTAAGAAACAAGCAACAATTGCAAGATCAATAATGGAGGTAGAATACATAGTAGTAAATTATGATACAATGGAGATAATATGGCTTAGACAACTTTTGGAGGGCATTGGAGTAGTACAAATAGAAACAACAATAGAATGTGACAATCAAGGATGTTTTGCGCTTACAAAGAATCCAAAGCATCATCAAAGACCAAGTACATTGTCATTTAACATTACTTCATAAGTGAGAAGATTGAAATGAGAGTGATTAATATAAAGTATTATGCAACAAAAGACATACTTGTTGATTTGTTGACAAAGACATTAGTAAAGGATAGGCATTGCATGTTAATAAAAGAATTAGGATTGAAAGCCTTTGACCAATAGAAAAGTAAGAGTGTTAAAATAAGTAAATAAAAATAAAAATAGAATAAGTTATAATACAACACCCTTGCTGCAACAAATCTCATTGCAATCTATAGATCCAGTCGTGAAAATTGCTCCTTTGAAGTTGAGTGATCCAAACTACCGCGGCGACCAACCCCCTTCACTTAGAAATTTGCTAAAAATTCAAATTATCTTCAAATCCAGCGAAACTTATGCCCTTCAAAGCTTAGCTTATAAATCTTGATGCTTCCGAAATTTCAAATGAATCCAGCAATCAAGCACTGATAAATGTCTTCCTAAACTCGATTAATCCAAACTGCGAAGGTTGTCAACCCCCTCACACTCAAAATTTCACCAAAAATTTAATTCAACTCTGAATGGAGCGAGACTTCTTTGTCAGAAAGCTAACAACAAAAGCTAAAACCACAAAAAAAATCACATTAGAACTAAAATAATTGAATGACTGATGGAGGGAAATCTGAGGCTCTTGAAATCCTTGGAGTAATTGAGAGGCCAAAGGAGCTATTCACCACAATGAAACGTGTTTTAAGACCCAATGACTATCATTCGCAACTCGAAATCCATCCACATCCACCCATAAAATTCATAATGAGATTTAAAATCTAAATGAAATTAAAATTAGGATTTTTGGCCAAATTTTAGCATGGCTTCATCCTTCACCAAAAGAGAAGAGAGAGAGGGCTTGGAAAACCAAG